CCAGTAAACCTTTTTTGCTAGCACTGGGAAAATTACTTGCCCCTATGAACAAGGTCAAAGTCATGACCAGGCTACCTTATAGAGACCGCTTGCAGAGTACCCTCACTAAGGGAAAAGAATGCGGTATTCTGCAAGCAGTTCACATGAGCCAACCTTAAAAAACTAGCGATCTCGCAGTAGTAGATAGCTTGCATCATAAGCAACATTTGATTTACGAGATGTAACATTTTCTTTATTTTTAGAGTTCCGTATGCAAAGGGTATAAACCAATAAGTTTAATAACTAGAGAGGCAATCCCATATAACAGATGCGCCAAAAAGTGTAGCACTATAAATAACATACTATATAATATAAAAAGATTTAGTATGTCTATCTCCCTCATATCTACAATTAATCTTTAAATTAAAGACAGAATATGTGCGAAACCTTAATAATTTTCATATATTTCACTAGATTTCCATCAGCCGTTTTACCTGCGTGGTCCTTTATTATCAATTGTTTATATGAAAAAAAAACATATAAGCTCTACCCCCCTATTTCACCCCCTTTCTTAGTTTTTTACTTATATCACGAAAGGAACCCCTGTACCAAATTTCAAGTTTCTTGGTACAGTAGTTTTGGCTGCGCATCGATATATAAGTCAGTCAGGTTTGCCTTTTATAGATTATACTTTTAGATTTTGTATTTAACAGCAAAAGAAAGAATGTTAACAATTAAACACTAATTTTCAGTGATCGCTATTATACTTAAAATTTCAACAAAGATGAAAATTTGTTTTAATTACTACTAATTATTATAATTGACCAATTTTGTATTAACAATGCTATACTGAAAAATATTCTTAATTTTCATCTTTTTTTTTATTTATTTATTCTTTATTGCCTAACTAAGGACAAATGGCGGACTTAATGCCATAGAGACATTCTCTCCCAGTCAACCAATCAGATTGTACAGAACAGTAGTAGGCGGTAAAGATTAAAAACCGTTCATAAAATCGTAACTATAAGCATTATACATACAATACATATATGTATGTATACATAATATTAATATACATATATTATATATACATACACATTATAAGATTATCGCAAGTTGAAATATTTGTGAAAAAAATCTTTCAGCTATTTGGGTGGATTGTGTGATGTTGATGAAAATATGATATGTGGTAGAGAAAAAGTAACAAATGCTTGGAAAATTCACCAATCCTGTTAGGTTCTGGGTAGCTCAGTGATTAAAGCAGTCGTCCCGATTGCGAAAGTTCATGGATTCGAGTCCAATCTCAGAGTACTAGAGAAAGTGGATTTTTAAGAATTTTTCTTTAAGAATATTGTTTACTAAGGTTAAGTTATAATTATGACTCTAAGCGTATATAGTTTAAAAAGTCTTAGATCTGTAAGATAACACGATCGGTAATAAGTGAAAGTAATTAAGAATTCGACAGCAATATTTATTTATTAAAATTCAATTATGATAGACGAATCTTGCCCACCTTATATAATCAAACCAATCTTGATATCAGAAAGACTGTTCCAACAAAAATCTTTTCTTATTAAACTATATTGGAACGACGATAATCTGAAACGTTTAATCAAAGCTGAATTCAACAGACGAGCGCCAATGCAGACATTTATTTGCTTTGTATTTTATTTTCAAATCTTATTAGAATGCAGTTCCTTGTGAATTCATTCAAGTTATTTTCTAAATTGGATCCCGTTCCAACCTTTTTTACCTTTTCACCGACTTCAAAACCCAAAAGAAAGAGGTTATATGTTCGACGGCGATGTATCTTATTTTATGTATGTTTACCGATATTTCCGCCAATGAGGAAGTATTAAAAAAAACGAAAGCACAAAAAAAAGCGGCTCCACTAGAGGGCGACTCTAGCAAAAGTTGATTTTTGCAGGAAACGAATGGACCATAGACAGACATTTCTCTTCCTTTTAACTAACATATTAAAAAACTGAAATTTGAAAAGTCCGAAACTTAGATATCAATACAAATACGAAAAAGTACAAATAGAATATGAATTGTATATTGAGTTTTGAAAACTAATTTACTTTTAAACATGAAAGAAAACCGGAAAGGTTGTCATGGAGAAATCAATAACGTACCGTAGCGACATCTAGTTTGATTTCGGGCACTAATGTTTTTTTTTTAAATGCTTCCTCATTGTTAACCAATTTTCAAAATTATTTTATATTCGACCGTTTAATGGACCGAGAAAACTAATCGAAATTGAATGAGGAGTTTTCTCTTTATAACAAAACAAAATACGCTTTTAACCAATTATCACCCAAATATTTAGTTGATACATTCGGTAAGACATGGCCCATTTTATCCAAAAAACAAAAGAATGCGCGTTTGAAATATTATCTATGTTCTATATTATTTATTAAAGTAGGTCGATTTCTTCTTGAAATGTGAACCAATTTCTATCAAACTAGCTATTTCCCGCGACTTCGCCTGCATAAATTATAGCCTATGTCCAATGCGTATTAAGTAGCTAGAAACAAGCAATGCAACCTTTTCTCTTTTTAAAATATGAGTCTAGATTAATGGAATAAGTCATGAATAAAATCTTTCTGTCTAAGACTTTCACATGATGAATATTATTATTTATATAGATATTTAATACTTATAGTGTTACCTATTATATAAAAAGTATCATATCGACAAAAAGCATGCAAAAAAACCTTAAAAAAATAGATCCGACTTCAAACTTTAAAAATATGATAAATAGTACTTATCTCAATAATATTGTTTTCTTAATATAAGTAGACATCACATATGTACGTTTACGTACGACATTCTACTTTCCTAAATCATGAATTTCTTTAACATTTATTATCGTATTCACTGAATATAATAATATAGAATATTGATCGTGTTTACATGGTTAAAGAGATAATTCTAAGAAAAGGTTTAGGGAGAAGCTGCTTAAAGATCGGAAATATAATATTATTGAAATAATCTTCATATTTTATCGTCCATAATTATGATTTTGAACTGTGGTTTTTGCTGTATTTTTTAGTTAAAAAAATCTTGTTTCTATTTTTTGACGATCTCTATTATTGAATGACCAGCATACTCTTTTAAATATAATCATCACGTGACATCAGTTTTTTTTATCTTGTTCCAATCTTTTCAATTTGTTGTTTTTCACGCAGGCGGGTTTTTTGTTTTATTTTTATTATTTTTTTTATACTTCTTTATCTTTAGTTGGACACATTACCAGGTTGGTTCAGAAAGTGAAAGAACACAATTGAAATTTTTAAACTTTGTTATTTTTATTAGTATTACGGAAATGATAATTATATAATCATCATCATCATCATCAGCCCTTTTATGTCCCCACTGCAGGGGCTCAGGCCTTCCTTATGGATGGTTAAGGAGGATGGGCCATGACAATATTTTTTTGGTCACCCATCCCATGACCGACCGTTGCGAAAGTTGCTTAACAACAACGATCGCGGGTCGCGGCGCTTATCTTCTACGCCACCGAGCTACTTATACCGTTTTGCAATCATATACCTTTTTGCAATCCTTATTTAATTTGATACCCATATTGTTTGAGGTACAATAACAGAATATAAATTGTACATTTTACTTAGCATCTACCAGATTACTTTATTAATTTATATTCCAGTAATATTGGTACACAACATTCATAAAAAAAAAATCGAAGAAACTGATAACAATCCCTTCGGCGTAAGCATATATAGATTTTCCATACCACATTTGAACATCAAAGAAGTAAACCCAAATAATGGTTATTGCTTAGTCTACTCGAAAGAACGACACAGAAGAATTGATATCACATCAAACAAATACTTATTTCCACTCTAAGCTCAAGATTGATGTTTTCAAAACGGAACATGAAAAATAATATAAAATTATCATATTAAATATGATTACACAATAGCGAATCTTTGAAAGAACATAAACTACAGTTAAATATATCAAATACATCTTCGAAAGAACATAAATTATTATACGCATGACATAAACGTAAAAGCAGTACATTTTTTGAGACATTATTGTAGTATTTGAAACAAAAAAAAAAAAAAAAAACAAAAATATAATGTCGCACAGCCGCCATGATCTGTTTTTTGTTTTTTATGATAAAAAAAATATTTTTACAATTTTAGTTCACACTAACTTTGTTATACGAACTATAAAACGGTAAATTTCGCAACCTTATCATTTCATTGAGGGAGTTTATATCGTGAGGATTATTAAGAATTTGTTGAGGTCTAAACTACTGATTAGTAGTTCCTCTACTGCACTCGGACTTCAAAGCAACATATGCTTGACGTTTAGCCTTTCTTTTTATTTTATAATAACTTATTGGTATTACGTTCCTTCTAAATTTGTACGTACGCTGAGTAGAGTTTAGCAATCGCCTCAGACGAATTGATATTTTTCATGAGTCCTTCTTCCTAAGGACTGCCATTTATATCACGGAGGCTGCAATTTATTGCCCCCATTTATCATTTCATCGAGTCCTTCCTATATCATACCGTAACCAGGGAAGTCGGCAGATTACCTCTCATTTTTATTATATTTGCGCTATTTTAAGATTTATTAAAACCCTTATGAAGGCCTGTTCAATCGATTTATCGCGTTTCCGTTGGATTATCCTCGAATCATTCTTTTAGAGAAATTCAATGAATTTTTACAACAGAAATAAATTATAACTTTCAGAACTGGAGATGTTTGCCATAAAACAATTCATCTACCTAAATTCTTATAAAATATGTTTATTAAATTGTTTTTTACAGGTTTAATTTATCTAATTATTGTGAATTTGAGTGAAACAATAAGAAGTACTGATAATAATTAAAGTATTTAAAAAAGTAAAATGCAAAAATGAAATTAAAACATTCAGTGATATCAAACGATGTGATGTTTAGCATTGATAATAGTTTGGCACAAAACAAAATGGCGGTACAGTTAAACGACTATCAGTGAAGTGTAGTGATGATAGCAGTCGCAGCATGACCACTTGGATGGCGCTATTCGGGCTGGTGTGGCTGTTGCGAGTGCGCGGTTCGCTCTGCGGTTGCGCGGCGTGCAAACGAGCACGCCAGGAGGCAGTGGACGCGCCCGGCGAGCTCACCCCGCGCGCTCCTAGCCCAGACGAACGCGCGCCATTTGACGTCATAGCGCTTGAAAACTACACGCGTGACGTCACAGTCCAGACAGACTTCGATGACGATGAAATCGAAAATCTCGATAAGATCGAACTCCAAATTACAGAAGAGTGTAAGTATCTATTTAATATCGAACTAGCGTTTTTAATATCGACTTTCATTTTATCAATCGTTTTGAAGTATCGGTTTTAAGCTATTGTAAACAAATAAGATCATTTTATTTGACAGAATTATGTATTTATCAAAGCATTTCTCAACTTAAATAAGTCCATAAAAAGTTCTGTTGTGTATATTCCGCAAACCGTTTGAGGCAACGAAATTATTATGGAGGGTAATGAGCGAAAAGGAATTATACTATCATGTTTTTTTAGCTGGCTTTGTAGTCCTACTTTTTGTATATTGCTTTATTTCCAAGCTTCCTAATCTACCTAATATCCGAGAAGAAAAGCCTTTTGTGTTTTGTGCCACTTTATGAGGGAAAATGTGCTTTTTAGTTCTGTCGGTTGTTAATTTTACTCGTCTCTGGGGTTTAAATACATTTGTTTGTTAATGGAATATTTGCTTTTTGTAATTTAACCCGATTTCATCACATGGAATGCAGAATATATACAGGCTTTTATATCATGTGTTTTTATACTTACATTTAAAAAAGGATCATTACAAATCAGGAATCTGCCTTGCGATTCTGTAAAAATTCAAACCCGAATTCGAATTCATTCAGATGTCCTTCAAAAAGCGACATCTGCTCAACTGAATTGGTAATAAAGTTTCGTGGCATAAATGAAGTGAGTTCCGAAATGACATAGGAATAGAATATCTGAGACACGTATATTCAATCAATTTGTTTTGTATTTTTCTAGAAAAAGGAATCAATAGAATTTCTACACTAAATGACGTGAAATACATAAGAGAATTCGAATTTGGGTCTGGGTTTGTACAGAATCGCAGGGCAGGGCCTAATAGAAATGCTAAATAATTCAAGAAACTTCTAAAGAAGTTTAATTATACACTACCCACCTTTTTTCTTGCGTATCTATTAGTTCAGTTACCGTTAATTTTTGTTAACAGGACAGCGTTTTATAAAGTTATTAAATATTATATAAATTTAAAAGGTATTTTTAATACTATGTAGTTATATCGAGCATTTATCTGTCAAGAAACGGCTTAGAACTCGACTTCTTACACAGCGCTGTCACAGCATAGACCTTCAATGATATAATTAAAACCTTAAATACCTTTTGAAGTGGGTTTTATTTGATTGAATTTCTATAATATGGCAGAGTTATTTTCGACGTCGATTTCGAGGCTGCAAGGGGATTACAATTACCTCTTATAGCAACGTTTAATCTATGTAGCGAGCGGGACAGCGTTATACTGAACAATAGCTATCAGCTTTATGGTTAGGCTCAGAATATTAACAACATATTTCCTGAATAGAGTTACTCGTTTATAGAGTTTACGTGTATTTCTGAAACACACCCAATCGACTAACGAATGAAATTTAAATACAACGTTTGTATAAAATGCATGAAATAAAATATTTTTTCGGCATATTTTACCATTAATTTATTTAAATTGAAACCGATTATTCATCGTGGATATCCGCAATAACAACTGAGACCGCGTCGGTTAAAATCGTTTTTTCAATAATTGTCTCTCCTTTTTTCTTTCAGCTTAAAATATGCGGGGTTAACCGGTGATTGTATTTATTGAATGATTTTTCAAATTATCTTTTATGTGCATACTTAATTAATAATATGAGCTCAAGTAAAATAAGTTACAAATCGCTTAATTCAATTAAATAAATTATGTTTGGAACAATGCTTTAGCAGATTTAGATTACCAATATTTTATATGAAGACTTAATAGCGCTTCGATTACAACCTTTTATGGTACAGTTCTTGTTTCTAGATCACATAATATTAAATAAATATGTCACCATTGAATTATGAGGAAGTAGTGCAGAAATAATATTGGACATCAAGTAGGTAGTGCAAGCAGTTGAAATTATTTTATGGCAATTCACAGAATTGGGGGTATGGTAGTAGAATTTTCACTAAATCTATTATCAGATAAATATTGCAGTTTCATAATCACAGTGTAATCGAAAAATACAATATAAATATTCGTCAATTTATTATATCAAGATAGGTATTGCAATTTTTTATTAAATGACATTTCTATCATTTTATTAATCATCAATCACAAACTACATTGAAACATTATGCCATGTATAATCTAATAAAATTGTAAAAATACTATGAATCAAACTATTTCAAGGGTAAGTTATTAAATGCTTAACTATAAATTAACCATTAACCTGATAATATTTTTTTTTGCTTTAAAAGTTGCTGAGCAAAATGTGATAGGTAATATTTAAAACTTGACTACCCTTATGGTTTGAACCTACTAAACTTGTTAACCTATACTAACTCTATTCCACCCGCATATAATGTAGCTTCCCGTAAAAATAATTATGTGATTAGTATTTTTAAAAACACCTACAAATGAATAAACAAACAAAGTTAGAAATAAAAATAAAAATACAGATAAAAATTCTCAACAAATATGAAGTAACTAGATTAAAAACTGGTTTTAAATTCCGTATTTGTCGTTGTCTTTTAAACTAAATATCATATTTCGTTGATAATATTTCTATAATTAAATAACAGGTGAGAGGGTAAACCTCATCCAGCTACGGGTATTAACCTACACGTTATAATAGGTGTTAAAGATACCGAGAGTATGAGAGGAATATTAATTATGCGGTAACACAATGTCAATTTATTATTTTGAGCTTCCCCATACTTCGGAAAGCACGTTAAGCCATCGGTACCGCTATATCTGCAGTTATTAACAACCATCAGTCCATTGTGTTTAACTTTAGTAAGAGCTTACTTATGTAATATTCAAAATTTTAATTGTTTAAAAAATAGCAAATTCTATTAACAGCAACAAAGATCTGTATACTTCCAGAGAAACATACTCTGCTTGGAATTATAGTAACAATAATATTACAGTTGTTTAGTTGCCAAATAATTTAAGTATATTTTACATAACCACTATGTTGTTGCTTTAAGAAAAAGATTATACGTGATAGGAAAATGATTTTTTGACATCTGAGATTCGTTTATATGTTATTATAGGTAAACTGGAATTCTGAAGGTTATACTTATTCATAACTAGCTTTCGCACGCGGCTTTGCCCACGTGGACCCTAGGGAAATGTTAAGTGGAATAAAAAGTATACTATTATCTAAGTCAGCTAATACCCTACATGTATACCAAATTTCATCAAAATCCGTTTAGTAGTTTCGGCGTGATTAACTGACAAACATCCAAACATCCAAACAACAGAAACTTTCACATTTATAATATTAATAGGATTTCTTAAGTACAATTAGAAGTATGCAATTTTAAACACTTATGTATGTTATAATGAATATGTGAAATAAAAATTAATTGTCATATTACACGAATCATGAAAAGTTTCGGTTAGATTCTAGGATTTTAACAAACATTTCATGGCATATATCGAGTGGGCCTAAGTAGATAGACGGACAACAGAAAAAAGTTAAATTTGCAGGACAGCAATACAAACGAAAACTTGACGTCCTGCGTCCCCGAGTAATAATCTCATTGTATGCGAAATTATCTTAGCAATTAAAAGCCGTATGCTGAGTTTTTTTTTTAAGGAAAACATATGCTTTAAAGACTTAATTTGGTTTTTTTTTGTTGGCTGTATTTACTCGAATTTAGGCGCTCCGTTGCTTCCCGTTGTCTGTACGAGATCTTTTAAATTACACAACGGATTTTAATACGGTTTTCATCAATATACAGAATAATATAAGAGGAAGGTTAATTTGTATAATACAAGATCATGCGGGCGAAGCCGCTATATATATATTCTTATGTTGGTTATTTTGTCTGCAGCTCACGTTAGCAACTACGATTGCAGCAGGGAACAACTCGTGCAAAGTCCAGAAAGCGGCTCTCGCATTCCAGGAAATTATCAGGTGTGTTACAATATTATCATGAATTTCTAGCCAACCATTAATTTATCTGGGAATATCTGGAATGTTAGATTATTGCAAATTTTTTCTTATTTCATTATTCAATAAAAAAACATTTGTTTAACGTATTGACACCGATTGAGATTAATGAAATAATTTTAAATAACGTGAACAAAACACGTAATAAAAAAATATTTTTGTCTAAGAAATCGTTTTGGTCAAATTAAATCTAGATCTGGACAGCAGTAGGCGCAATCAGCCGGGGTTGAATCAAACTAATTCTTCAATCCCGAATTGTGCCAGTATTTTGTTTTTATTTCACATGAAATTAATTGATAATGATATTTGCAGATACTGTAAACTCTTGTTTACAGAAACTGCAAACATTCCCTGTGTGACTGATGATTTACAAACGGAGCATACATCTGGAACGACAATATCGGCCCTGATGATGATGATATAAAAATTCTTAAAGCTAGGAATATTATAGTTTCAGTTTAAAATGACTCCTATGACTTTGGTGGCGAGTCACAACACAACAGATCTTATATGTAGATCGCAGACTACAGTTCCATAAGGAACAGAATAGCCCCTTAAACCCAACTAAAATAATGTCAGTTGCACAAACGTCCATTAAGGTTTAATGACATCTTTAAGCTCTAATGTAGATCAAATTTGCATGGATAACGTTGCTTTTAACTAAAATTTTAATGGAAGTTTGTGCAACTAGCTGTAAGACTTATTCCCAATCGTAGATGCGTTGTAGTATTTATATAAATTAAAAAAATATTTTATAGTACAATGGCTTTTATAAATCTTTGGCCCTGAAACTTTTGACTCACTAATCTCTTTAATGTTCAAAATTAAAAATTAAAATTAATACTGGCTTTTATTCAAATAAGTCTTAATTTTGCATAAACTTTACTGCTTATCCACATTTTCTGTAACAAAGTTTGGGCATTCATTTTATCTATACCCACGCTTACACACTATCTTGTTGAATATACAAATACAGAATAATAAATCAATTTATTGGACTACTGCAAAGAGTTAGGTTAACATGTGTAAAGGCTATTTAAAAATGCATAGGTAACTGTACACATTGATGTTTGATGATTTATTTATCCATGGTACCTATCCAAGGATAGATAAGCTAAGTAAACTATGTTTATATTACTTTTATATCAACGAGTGTCCATATTCATTTGGGCTTAGTCTATTTTAGGTTAATAGTTTAATCAATTTACTATTATTGTCAATTGGCCATCTCCGTTGATTTTGTGTGGATGTTCGTTCATTTGTTTATACTTAGTTTATTTTAATTTAATGGTTTTAACCTGGGCAACAATTACTTATTTTACCATATTTTTTTTATCTTATTCGCTCCGTTTTTAAGAAACATTTTGTTCCCGCTAATAATAAGAATAATTAACTAGAGTCCTATAATAATTAGCTATAAGACTTGACTCTGTTACGGATTTATTAAAATATCTTCCTTTTGTTCATGAATATGAATATAGGATAGGTAACAAATGTCAGCATTTTCAATTTCAGTTTAATAAATTGAACCAATGACAGCTGAGGTTGAATACAAGACAAGATCTATCGTAAATTGTACACTCTGACGTATGTTATAAGATTTAAAATTGAATTTTGCATTTGATTAAGACGATTAGATCGTTTTTAAACCAAATGACGGAAGCAATTAGACTGTACGTAAATTTGAATTGAGTTCAAGAAAATGGAATCTGCTTTACTATACTTTGAAAATCTAAAATATTAACAACTTACAATTTGTATAATGATGAGAATGAGTACAGCAATATTTTTTCTACACAATAAAACTACCAAAATAATTGATATGTAATAAAGTACCACATCGGCAATACACAATTAAGGCAATAAATATAACTTTTTAGATAACACTGTAATCAAATCTAACACATATCAACAAAACACATAGAGACATGGAAGTCATACGGCCATGGAGAGAGATTCTGAAGCATTTTAATAAATAAGAGACAACCAAAAAATAATATTCATATAACTTTGTTTATATAAAAGAACCTGCTGTTACTCAAGGAAACATGTTTCCATCATTTTCAGCACTTACATAAATTTGATATACAGTAGATTGTAATGCCGTTTTTTTCTTTTTATCGGATAACTATTATTGTATGTGAAACATCAAATAGATAAATAAAATATTTTTATCTCTTAAATTCTATTTCTCATAAATCGGTTGCTAAATAAAATAACTGTAATATATTGCGGGTTTATTCATATGAAGATTCACGAAAATCCAAGATGTGGGATAATATGAAAGATTCACGCGCAGAAATAATCAAACAACTTAACCAAGAAGATAAAACTAATCATTAGTTATGTAGGCTAAAGGGTAATTGTGTCTCTGCTAGCTGGATGATGTAGCTAGGTAACTTTTAGTAACCAGATAGAAAACTTGCCCAGGTGTGATTACTAAAACAATGTATTGAGAAATCAAGTTTTCTTGTACTCCATCTTTTTTCTATTACGGTTGAGTAAAAAAGTATTAGATATTACTGAAGAACCAACGTCATCAATGCATTATTAAGACAGCCCTTGAGTTTTATTATTATATCAATTGTTATACCTATATTAGGTCTAATGAAGTCAATTTGATAGCGTTTGTTGGCCAGCCGTCGTTGGTCCACTCTATACGGCATATAGATTTATAAATAAACTATTCCGCAATATTTCCCAGGGTATGTTCCTTATATATTACACTATTTAGTATTTTTTTTTATATTAGTGTCTATGATCCAAGTTTTTATTGAACATGCTTTACTCTTTGTTATATTGCTAAACCATAGATTTATATTTCATCTGAGTTCTAAACAACCAAAGTAAACGACATAATGAAGGATGTTTTTAAAATAATATATATTTATTAAAAATCCAAAATACTTAAAATGGTACTAATATTTCATAATTTTAGATATTTTTCTTGCCTTAATAATAACCGTGTTCAAAATTTGGAGTCTGTGGGTCTGATAGAAGTACCTTAGAATTTTAATGATCTAGGAGTCAGTCGGTGACAAAATTATGGATTTTTAACTTGCAATAATTCTTAAAGTACTTGTTCAAATCTAATGCTATGTAGAAATGTGCTTCGTTATATGCTGCCCACTTGGTTACAGGGGGTCAAAAATAGCCTGCATGGCTTCGAGAAAGGGGCCGTGCCCTGTTTACTTTTGCTCAACTTGGCAGAGGCACTTCCGTGCGTCTCCCTCTCCCATAATATTCTAATTTTGAATTGAAATTATTCACAAACAATTGATATAAAATATTATTATATTTTCCGATATTAATAACTTCGGCGAACAAATTCCACTCAGCATTTCTATGATGACGGCATTTAATAATAATAAATTAAATTATATTTATCAAAGATTTCAATAAAGAAAATAATATTTCATCTGACAATGGGAAAATTTATTAGCGGAACATGATGTTTCGTGCAGGAATAATGGTTTAAAGTCAAGAGCCATTCCAATGTTTATTACTGAAGTAATTCAATGAGTATAAATCAAGAATCCAGATTCATGTTCTATTTTATAGGAAAAGTTATGTGACTGTGGCGAAAACTTTATATCTTCGTTAAATCAACCATCATTTTAAGCACTCTCTTGTTATCAAATTGTAAGCTGTAAATATGCGAATAGGTTAGCCGTAAAATTTAAGATAATACTGCCTAATTCCCGCGACTTCGCTCACTAAATTATAGATTATGCCAACCCCGTGATGTAGCTTCCCACAAGAATATTCATGATCAGATCCATATTTCCGAATAATAACTTTTACATTCCTACAATCTAAGTAAGATATTTTAATTATTTGTTTGTCTTGAATGCGCTCCGAAATTATTGGGCCGATAAGAAAAATTCTTTCGGCTATGAGCTAGCAATTATGACTACCCGCGTATATTATATGCGGAGGACTATAACTTAAAACAGCTAGATAATAAAGATATAAATATGTTTTAATAAGTACTTACGACAGTTTTTATACATTTTTGATAATAGACTAAGCCTGATCCCGACCGGGTAACATTACCTTTTAATCTCATAAATGAATGTATTTAAGTAAATAGTTTTGTAACCAAGCAATTTGAGCTACTTAATAATCCATACAAGAATTTTGTGAGGTACTGTGTTATTCTAAGAAAGAATTTACGAAATTACTGAAATTATGTGAAGATATATTTGTATGTAATTTAAAGCTGACTGGTCGAGTTAGTGTTCTGAGAGTATCGTACAAATATTTAGCTCCTAAAATATTAATTTTCTTTTTATTTAAGACTTTCTTGTAATCGATGGTCAAAAATATCAAAACTTTTGGAGATAAGTAAATGGGCAACATTCGCATATTTACTTATTTTAATATCACAAAAAACATGTTTAATTTGATATTTCCGTATGTTATTCATCCATTTTAGTTGGAATAACGAGTTATAGGCACACTCAATTTCAACTCAATTCATTTTATCTTCAGGTCAAATTACTTTTGACTAGTGATATTACTATATTTGATTAATTTTGAATTCACAATGCTATACTGAAAAACAGCACTGAGCTACCTAGGACTTAACAGGACTGTCAAGTTTTTAAAACACTCATTTCTTTTTCGCTACTACAGAGCGTATTTTCGTCAATGATCAGGCAATCCACCCAAACAGCCGAAAGAAATATTTTTACAAATATTTAAACTTTCCACAAAGATGGAGGTTTGTTCTAAATATTATATTGATATTTTACTTCCATGACCGAGTGAGTCGCATGCCGATTGGTTTGATTCCAGGTCAAAGCTCTTTCAGATTTTTATTACAGAAGTGTTTTAGCTAATGAATTTGGCAACTGCGCAATGTATGTGATATTGCAATATTTTTATTTATTTTTAAGGATCCCAATCTAAAAGTAAGATGAATTATTGACACGCGAAAAAGTATTCAGTTTATGTTTAATTAAGGTATTGGTATATATGGCTCACCGATGTGTCTGCGCAGAAGTCTAGATTTTGAAACACGGCAAATGTCGGCAAATAATGATTCATGTATCGCGCCATTGGGCAATCTAACTACGTCAACGTGACTTCCGTAGAGTAAAAGTACATAAAAGTCAATGAAAAATGGCTTAATATAAATAATCATACGTCGTTAATAATAAAAAAACACACACACACACTAAGGTGCGTCATAATTTGTTGCACCTTAGTGTGTGTGTGTGTTTTTTTTTTGACCCTGAGAAATACGTTAGGCACGGGTTATGTTGGACTCTCCCCTGCGGACCAACCCTTAGAGGGGCTGGTCAAAAAGCAGGGACATACCCACTAAAACTCAGCGATGTCCCTCACACGGAGGAACGAGGCTTGTTAACGGTCCCCAACGGGACCACTTTCCGCGTGTATAATAGTGTGTTAAAACTATCATCATCATATTAATCAGCCATATTACGTGTCAACTATAGGGGCCCATAACACCAAACTGGTCCAATGCGGATTGTCCCAGCTGGGACTAACGGCTTAATGTGCCACCTACCCCGTAACCGGCCCTTGTGAAAGTCGCTTTACAATAACGACAGTGATCGTTGTAATATACCGAGCTACTGTGTTATAACTGTGTTATAATCTTATTCTAAAATTATTTGAATTTTTCTCACAGTACCAATCAGACTCGGACAGTGAATCAGTCTGGGAGACAGCTGAGGTGACTTTAGAAAGAGGCGCGAACGGTCTTGGACTTAGCATAGCTGGAGGCGAGACTGGCGGTGACGTCAGCATCACGAGAATCGCCCCAGGTGGAGCTGCGAAAAAGGACGGCCGTTTACAGATAGGAGATATTCTATTAGAAGTAAGTAAATTATGGAGGAAAAAGGTCAATGTTGTAGAATGTTCGGTAGCCATCTAAGCTGATTCTAGTGGCATCTCTATCCACACTGGTGGCTTTTATATGTCGATACGAGACATTTAAATTAAAGAGTGAGATAAAGTACTTTGAATCCTTAAACTTTGAAATAATGATTTACCTTTGTATCAGTATTAGTCTCCAGTAGCGTATTCATATAAATGTATACACGATGTAAATTATTGTCATTAGAGTTTTTTTTTCTTACTATTGTTATAAATGCGAAAGTATTTATCTGAATATATGTAATAGCTAGTGGGGATGAGGACTGTAAATAAGAATTAATGGATATATGATAAAATATAATAAAAATAAAAAAAACACAAATCACAGCAAGCGAAAAAAGCGGCAATAGTACAGGCGCAAAACAAGGAGTAGTAGTAAAAGAACAAAATAAAAATATGGCGTAGACTAATAAAAAAGGATGGCGTTTTCCAGCTAGATGCTTACAGTATGCTTATTAGACTTTCTAGTCATTGGACTGGTTTTAATGAAATTTGTTGCTGAGACAGAATTGATATTGGACCTTGGACTACATGTGAACTATTTTTACGAAAAAGTGATTGAAATAGGGTATTGATAGTACAAGATACGCGTGTTTCGTTACGTCCAATGTATGATAAAAATAAAATATTTAACAATTGTTATTGTTGATCCTATTAAATTAGTTAGTTAAGAAAATGAATATATCAAATATGATTAAATTATTTCATGCTAGCTTTTGCTCGAGACTGTCGCGTACTATTAATACCCTATTTCAATCACTTTTTCGTAAAAATAGTTTACTTATGCGCAATTTGATCATAGATCACTTCTAAGAAATGCTATAGTCACTATTCATTAGTTATTGCTTTTGGCAAAACAAAAACTCAATATGTACAATGCCAATTTATTGAAAAGTATTCAGGAATCATGAACTAAAAACTTTTTCAGTATTGTGAAAGCTGCAGAGGTCATATTTAAATGTTTTATGGGTTCCGCTATAAAAGTAAAACCGCAGCGAAAAGAAATAAAAATACGTTGAAATAACAATCCAAAACTTTTTTTTATCACGCAGTTAAAAACTCCTCGTGGAAAGTTAAGTAACGACATCCTTCTGCGACTTGGCATTTTGTTTAATGAGATTTTATGCAACGTCGGAGGCTTAATTTGACGAGACCAAGGAAAAACAATTGCGATTTTACGGACCTTTAGCAGCAAGGTCAGACGTTGTTAATAAAAATAGTTGTCGGCCAAAATAATTTATTATTTAAGAACACAAAAGGGAAGTTATTTCGCTAAACCAAATAACTTACGTCATTCTTTATATAATCTTGTAACATTTGCTGTGCTGATGTACCCCTGATGTTATATTTTTGAAATAATAGTCGGTATTTTTCAACGGGAGCCATAAAGAAGGCCTTCAAGATAACCTCAATAAATTTCCTCTGTATCTCAATGTGAAATATGAAGGAGATATTAAGCTGACGGATGTAATCTGTACAACAACTGATTTATATTGCCACATTTAAGAGCTTATATCGGCAGATCCTGGCATACTTGAAAAAATAATATCAAAAGCTTAGTATCCTTAATTAGATTCTTGATTGTAGATATCAGAAAAATAGTTGTGTAAATAGACGTACTTAATGAACTTGAACGTTATAAGTTATTTAATATATTTTTGGTTATTAACGTAACGATAATATTATCACTTAAAATATTGACGAGAACTCAGAAATATATTTACTTTATTTATGCCTTAGAATTTATGACAGAGAACAGAACTTAATTTAACGAAGACGAGTTTACATAAATTTGAGTAATTTTGTTTTCAGCCATGGCGCTAATTGTGATTCTTTTGATAAATTAATTAAAGTAAAACACTCATTTTATTTTAGATTTTCTTACATAACGTTATTCTGTAGTCACATTCAGTATAAAAACATATTACCATAATAAGTTAATTCTTGCTATCTTACACAGAACTTATTCTTTTACAGAACTGACAACAAAGATAATTTGATGCATCTTAAACTAAATTTAGTTAATATGCTCAATTATTTTGCGAGAAGCAATCAAAATCGAATATAAATTATTGATTTCATAATAAAAATAGTTACTCAAAACGATTGTGCGATGAATATACATATTTATAAACTATATAAATCAATATCAATAGTTCAATATCAACATCTCATATACCTATGTCACTTTATGTAAATATAAAAAATGAAAAAATACAGAGATTTTATGTAATTTTAAAATTATTAAGTCGAGATCTATTAAGAATGTTTATAACTTTCGATATAAAAAAAACAGTTGTTGTGTCAACGTACATACGCTCAGGCAAATATTTAATATCGTATCATGGATGTGTACATAAGCTCGCGTAATACATTCATCATTCTCGTATGAAATACCAGATATAACGACGATTTTATTATTTCAAAGACGCACTCCCTTATTCCGGCAATTCCCCGCACCTCAACATTAGGCATGAATTCTTTACGCTTTTCGTAAAATCTTTTCGGTTTGTTTTTATTATTATTTCATTTGATGAGTACTGGTACTGGTTTCATTATGTTTTTGTTTTTAAATTTGACCTTATTTAAGTGAGATATTCGAAAATAACATGCATGTTACATAAAAGTTTAAAAACATCTCTGAATCATTTTATTCCACTGAAAGGTATGCCAAACGAGATTTAATACTCTATACATCGAATTGTAAAATACGTTGGACGTGGATTTCATACTTTTTAGGAAAGAAGAATTGCATTGTGAGACTTGTGTATTTTTTTACATGTTATGTTTTCTCTGTCTGTCTCTATGGAATTTTTAAAAAGGCGTTGATGTATTGGTTTTCGATAAATCTTGGTATTGGTGAGTTCTGTATAAATTATTATTGTATCCTTTTCACTGACCCTCTGGATCCTCCGGGTAGGATCCTTACGCCTATATCTATAGAATTGTCTCCTTCTTTTTTCCCACAATCTCAGTTAGGAATCAAAAGACGTAATGTGACTAATGAAGAGACTGTAGCCCCAGTCAACTATCTTGAACTATCTTGAAGCATGGTCAGCCACAAACTGTTACCTCATCTCTCAATCTATTCGAAGCTTCTGATAAGGGTCCATTTATTGTCCATGTTTTTGTGGAGTTAGATCTCTTATCTGGCACTACTATCCATCCTATTAAATTTGGGCAGTTTCTTGTCAAAAATAAAATTAATAATATAATTAATGGTAGTTAAAAAAAAAACTGATTTGTGATCTATCTGCGATTTTATTTCGAAGGAATATCTCGAACTCTAGTCAGGATGACGGATGATGACCAACCTAACTCTCCGTCGGTTCCGCCTGACCTTCCAACATACAAATATTCTGCATCGATTCCTAAATATAATGTCACCCGTATGGGTATAGTTAAAGGTATTCCTTCTGAATTAGATATGGAAGAGTACGTAAGATAATTGATAAAAAGGTACGTGCCAAATCTAAATTAAAAAAAAAACCCGTCAGATGCCAATCGCGATCGCTATAGGGAAATCAGAAATCACTGTAATACATTGATAAGGTAAACAAAGACGCCATATTCATGCTTCCGTTGAAAACGGTGATCCCGTCAAAGTTTGGCGCTTTCTCAATAAGCTTGGTATTGGCAAAAATTAATGTAACCCCGCTCTACTACCAAATACTAATTTTAATGCCTTGAATACATACTTCTCCTCGTCTGCTTCTATGGACAGAAGCATCAAAGCTCATACTATAATACTCTTTCTTCTTTGCCAACACCATCATTTGCGATTGCATTAGTCGTAATATGATAATTACTCTTCTAGATATCCTAACTCCAGTAATTCCTTTTCTTGAACAACCTTCTGAATCTATTTCAATCTGGTTTCCGTCCCAGTCATAGTGCGAATACTGCACTTGTCAAGATTGCTGATGATATTCGCGTAGAAATAGAAAATTGATAGCTCACCATATTGACGTTATTATCACTAATGCATTCAACACTTTCGATTTCGACATTTTGTTAGCAACGCTGGTTTCTCTCAAAGTATCTCCACAGGTGATTGGTTGGTTTCGTAGTTACCTGTATGGGCGACGGCAAAGTGTAGGAGATATTCTCTCAGATTGGTGCGATACAACAGCCGGAGTTCCACAGGGTGGCGTTTTGTCTCCGCTTCTATTCTCTATTTTCATTAATTCAATAACCCTTCCTCTATCTTCTTCCTATCACATGTATGCAGATGATTTCCAAATTTATAGTCAAGCTGCGATGGAAGAAATACCCACTGCAATTGCTACCATTAACAATGATCTTGGAATCGACTTCATGGTCTGTTAGTCAATCCTCTAAAATCTCAAGCGATCATCATTGGAAGTCATTGGTATCAGGATAGGTTAAATTATGATACACTGCCATCTATCTTAATAAACGGCAATCGTATACCTTTCACTCAGTCAGTTAAAAATCTTGGTGTCATATTTGATTGCAATGTGTCTTGGAGCCTTCATGTCCGAGAGGTTAGTAGGAGGGTATTTGGTGCATATAGCTCACACAGTCGCTTAGACTTAAGAATCTTTTGCCCACTAAGACTAAAATCATTCTTGCTCAATCACTTCTTCTCCCTTTGCTTGACTATGCTGATTCATGTTATACATACCTAAGTGTCGCTTTTCTAAATAAACTTGAGCGACTTCAGAATTTGTGTATCCGTTTTGTCTTTGTTCTACGTAAGTATGATCATATTTCTGATCACCATACGCCAAATTACCTTATTTGAATATAGGTGCTTAATTTATTCCTACATAATTTTCAAGGTTTTATGGAATGGATACCAATTTAAAAAAAAGGAATACCTATAAGCGGTCAGTCCCTTGAAATATTCAACGTGTACCTGTACTTTTTAACAGAAGCTAATGTTTTTAAGAAGTCTGAAAATGGATATTTTAATAA